TGGGTGCTCTTTTGACTTTTTAAGTGAAAATATATCCATGGGTACATGGACAAAGTAAAGGGAGAGCGCAATACAAGTTTGTGCAATTCTAGGATTTTTTTCAAAGTGAAAATAGGTCGACGTATACATGGATAAAGTCAAAGGTGTGTGCAATGTCATTTTTGTGCAATTCGGGGATTTTTTTTTTTTTTAAGTGAGGTTGAAATAGAGCGCAATGCCATTTTTGTGCAATTCAGGGATTTTTTTAAGTGAAAATAGGTCGACATGTACATGGATAAAGTCAAAGGAGTGCACATTGCCACTTTTGTGCAATTCGAGAATTTTTTTTAAGTGAAAATAAGTTGATATGTACATGGATACCAAGTTTGTGCAATTGTTTGTCTTGTTATTTTGGCTTTGTGTAGTGGCGATTTTTGGTGCAAAAATCTCCACTTTGCAAGCCAAAATAACGAGTCAAAGAATTGCACGAAATCGGTATCCATTTACCGCCAAAAATCGCCAAGTTTCGTCAAGGGGTACCCTAAACTATACTTTTACCCTGAATTCAAAGAGAAATTAAAAATTTGTACAAAATCGGTACAAAATTTGTACAAAATTGCACAAAATCAGTATCCATGTACCGCCAAAAATCACCAAGTTTCGTCAAGGGGTACCCTAAACTATACTTTTACCCTGAATTCGAAGAGAAATTAAAAATTTATGAGAAAATCCACATTCCAGATACGAAGAATAAGGGTTATTCAAGTACTAACAAACAAAATAAAGCACACGCTCATTCTGCTGTTTTTTCTAGTATATGAGTTGTTTTACTTGTTGTAATAAGGGCTACTGAGCTAGGGAGCACTGCCTTTTTAAAAGGCTTTCTGAATTTGATAACTTTGTAATTGGCATTTTAGAAAAGGTCATTTGATAGTTATGCTACACTGTGAAAATATGAAATAGGGTTACCTGTAACCAACGTGTACAGGAGATAATCTAAGTTCAAAATGTGACAACTATCAGTGTGCAATTGTTTTATGTCATGTAATATTGTTTGTATTTATACAATATTGTTTTATGACTGCATAACAATTCATCAGTAAAAAGTGTATAGTACAGTATAAAGTCTGAAATCCAGACATCCGCTATCCGAAATAATCTAAAATCCAGACCTCAAAGCCACAAACATTTTTTTTTTTTTTTTTGCATTGCAAACTTTTTTTTTTGGTAAGCTTTATGCATGTGCATTTGATTTTTTTCTTCCATATTAAAACGTGTGGTGGTTTTCACTTAAAAATTTCAATTCTTAATTTCACTTAGGCGCTAAATAAAATACCTCGTTATGAAAAAACAATCATGCAAGTATAAATTTGTGAGATTAATAATTTTGCTCCATAGCCGAGTACCTGCTTAGCATACATCACAAACAGAAACATTCACCTATTCTATATCTCTAATGCCGACCTGGTGAGTCATTATTTATATTTTGCTTTCATCAGCACATGTTTATCAATACTTGACAGCGTCAGTAATAGCTCATGCAGTGATGCCTAAACTTTTTTTTTATATTAGTAATTGAATAACAAGTTTATAGCATAATTATAGATTTTTAAATGCTCTAAGAAATGTTGACGAGGGAAGTTCAACAGCAATTTCTTTTCATATGCTAAAAATAGATTTTGTTAATGAAACCCATAGGCCAAAAGATTACATTTAGTGCTGTTTTAATTAAGAATAACTGATATGTTATTCACCATAAACCCAGAAGTAGTGGCAGAATATGGCTGCACCAGATGGTAGAATTTAGAGAAGACAAAGTTTTTGGAATTTGAGGAAGCACCGATCGGCAAAATTAAGGGATGAGAAGTTTTTTTATAATTTAGGAAAAGCGCTGGGATCCAAAGTTTAGGCGCTGTGAAAATTTAGAACTTGGGAAGGTGTTTTGTATCAGAATTTAGGACCCGCAGAGATTGCACTGGGTGGTATCTAACGCCGTTAAGCATATGCAAAACTAAACTAATACAATTCAGGCTTAATTCAGTATGAAATAGGAGCAAGACAAAATTTAGCGGAACAACTTGCTTTTCATCGCTAATCTTGTGATACACAGCCAATAATGTATAACAAATGCTATTAAGCTAGACTAAAAGTATCTTTACTGATTCTAAAGCATTTCAGTTAATGCAGCAGACTGCATTGCTCCTTAATCTTCTAATTTGATCCAGCTTATTTTTTGCAGACTGTTATTAGAGCAATTTTATAAAAATTAAGCTTGAACTTTCGATTATGTCAAAAAGAGTTTTCAATTCTGGAGCTGCCAAAGGATCTACAAAGCAAAAGCATGTTTTGATGTCCATTAAACAAAAAGTGAAATTGCTGCAAAAAATGGATAAAGGCATATCCATCTCAAAATTATGTGAGGAGTATTGCATTGTAAAGTGAACTGTATATGACATAAGAAAAGTGAAAAAGGAGCTTTTTGAATTTTTTTGTGAATTCTGACACCCCACTTGCAATAAATAACAGAAAAAGTATTTACTATGCTAAAAGTGACGATCGTGACAAAGTGATGATTGAATGGGTCAGACAGCATTGCAGCGAGGACGTGCCATTGGCGGGTCCAATGCTAATGGTTCAAGCCAAAATATTTCATGAAGAAATGATTTAAAACACTGAGTGCACATATTCGACAGGTTGGTTAACCAAATTTAAAAATTGCCATGGTATCAGACAATTAAAAATTTCAGGGGGAAAAGCTTCAGCTGACACTGAACAATTTGCAGATGAATTCATTGAACTCATTACTAGTGAACAATTAACTCCAGAACACAGCGCTGATGAAACTGGTCTTTTCTGGCAATATGTACCGCGAAAATACCTTGGCAACCTCTACAGAAAAGGTTCCAACTGATGACAAAAGATTCCAAAAATTTTAGCATGCGCAAATGCTGCAGGAACACACAAATGCAAACTTTACGTAATCGGAAAACATGCATTACCTCGAGCATTTGAAAAGGTGTAATGATTTTCCCCGTTATATATCGTGCAAATGAAAGAGCATGGATGACACAAGCATTAATAAATGATTGGTTTGAAAATCATTTTATACCCGAAGCTCGGCATCATTTGAATTCGGTTGGTTTACCTGATGACTTAAAAATAGTCCTGATTGTAGACAACTGTTCAGCTCTTACTTCACTTAAAGTTTTAGTGAAAGATAATGTATCCATACGACGAGTCCGGATTTCGGACGACTTTGTACTGTAGTACCTCTCAGTAAGGAACACCATCCTGACCAGATATTTTGTCCCTTAAATCGAAACATCTCTTCTTCAGGGGATACATACTAAAAATATGTAATTTAATTAGAAAGTCAGGTTGTATCAAGCTTTAACTAAATCATATGCAAAGAAGTGACATAGTCACAGGTATTTATTTGAAACTGATGGAAACTGAAAATTCTTTACAGAAATATATGAAATGAACAATAGAGTTTTTTTATATACATAAATTTATTGAAAATAATCTGTTACATTGGTTTGTTTGAAAGTTTATGAATTACATGCACTTTATTCCATGTGGATATTAAAGTCGCTGATGACCTTAAATCCTTCATTGTCACCACTAGTAATCATGAATTGTTTTAATTGGGAGGTGTAATTTAAAGTGTCTGTAAAGTTTTTATGTCACACTTTTTGTCTAGCTTTTCTTTGTCTTCCTTACAGTTTTCCAAGCTATTTTTATTAAGGCTCACATCATCAACTACAGTTGAAATAAAAGATTTAATCTCACCATTGGTCTATTATCCATAAAAATCCCAAATCTGGAATCGCCAAAGTCCCGACCAGTCCGGATTTCAGACTTTGTACCGTATATATTCACTCAATCATCCTTTAAGACTTAAGTGATTATGAAATTGACTCGCATCTTTCTGTGTAATTTATAATCTATCTGCTCAACTATGTACCTCAGTGTGTTGCTGCTTTTTACCGAAGATGAGAGAATTTGGTGAAATCGGAATCTTTCCTTTATTAGTAAAAAAAATTTGACCTTATCAGAGGACGTAGGTATCTTGATGTGACATAAATATTATTGTAGTATCTGTATGTGATATAAGTCCATCATCATACTTCTAGTGTTTCAAGGTTAATTAAATCATAAATGTTGCAAAAACTGGGAGTTCATTTGCCTTTAAATACATGATCCATATTTAGTATTAGTATTGTATTTTTGGGGGGGATAAAATTTTTAAGGCACTATTTTTGCATTTTTAAAATTCATACTGTTTTTAAAATTCATAATTTAAAATTTTTATTAAAAATTCTATATTATAGGTATTTTGGTTATGCCATGTTTTTCATTATATGTAAATGCTATTCATGAATAAGGATCACACTTTGGAAAAACCTTTTATTGCTGAAAATAGTTCCTCTGTTGTCTCTCTGAGTTCTTCATAATACACCATAATTTTTTAGAGTACCGTAATGCTGCAGATTCTCAATGAATGAATGAATGATAATGTCTCAGTTATAAGCTTCAGAATTGAAAGCATTAAGTTATGTAATGTTATTTTTATTTTAAATTTATTAAGAGAATTGATAAGGAAATAAAGCTTAGGAGACTATAATTGAAAGTTATAACAATGAAAATGAGCTTTAAACCAGACAAGATTCTAAATTTATTACACCATATCTGCTGAATTTCTTGAAACAGTATCAAATAATTTAAAGCACTGGGAAGCTTATTTTCAAGATAAGCCTAGTTGTTATATCTTTGCAGTGTTAAATGTTTTGTAAAATCTACCAATTTCTTTAGAATTACAATGCATTCAATTTTGCCTTGTCTTTAACTTTACTAATCTTAATCGAAGGGTAATGTGTATATTATAAAGCAGTAATGTTAGCCTATCCTAGTCTTATTTGAATTTGGTATACTTAGCTTGGTATACATCATGTTAACAGAGAAATTATCCAATGGTCATTCTACATAAGATTTTAATGGAATGTACTAATACTTTGCAGGTGATTTTGTAGGCTATTGTAAAAAAAGAAGAGCATTGAAAATTTTCAACTAAAGAAGGATGGCTGCTTTGCACAGTTTGACATTATGCTGTAGCTGACTGTTATTCTGATGGGTTCTACTCCCTGGTAAGGCGTGAGCATTGATGTTGGCTTTTTCCCATTGCAAGTGCCTACAATCTGTGATGCACCTTGAATAACATTCTTGTGATAAGATGGTGAAATGATTTATGGGTTTGGAATAATAACAATTTCCTTCTTTACTCTTTGAACTACAGATTCCTTATCACCTAGGTGAAATCAGCAAGCATATGTATAGTTAAAAACCATCCAAAGGAATGGGGCAAATCAGCCAAAGTTCAAAAAGCCATTTAATGACACTGTACATATTTGAAGTAATTTCTTGGAGGGAGCATTAAAATTTACTTTAATGTAAATGTTGAATTATGCTGCATGTTAACATAACATTTGTAAAGTTCCTAACTCTTTTGGAAAAAAAAAAAAAATATTTGTTGAATGCTATTTTTACATTGTTTTACATCTGATTTGAATCTTCTGAAATTTTCATCTAACAAAGTGAAAATATGTTGCCAATATTAAATAAGTTGATCATTTTGTTTCACATTATTACATATATTAAGGCGTAAGTTTTTTATTATAGTGGCATAATTTTTTTAGAACTTCATTGCTTTGCTTGCATATGTTTATACAGTAAGTGCCCTCTAACCATCATGGGATTGGTAATTAAACAGACTGAGAATAAAATGGTTTATCAAACCAAACTATATTGAGTACAGCAAACATCACTTCACAAGATTATAACAGTATTTATTTGTTATAGATAAGTGAAAAGATTACAGGATCAGCTAAACGTAATTTATTCTACACTGCTGCTATTGTTTTGCAGTTATGGTTATAATATATATTATGTTACAGTTACATATGTGACATCTCCTTTTTTTTTGATAGAAATAAAAAGATTATACATACTGTTTTAAATAATAAGGTTTTTTAACAGTCCTACCAGGTTGAGTAACATAGTTATGTCAGTTTTCAAAATTTGGTGATACAACACCTCTTTGAGAATTTGGTAGCACAACACTTCTGTTGCATGCAGGAGAATTTACAGGCACATCTGAATTTGGAGTATACTTTTACCAATCTCAGGTTCATTCACATTTTCATGGCTTTCATTATCATCCAGTGGGTGATCGGTTAACAAACAAATCGGACAACGAACACTTTCACGAAAGATTTTTGTGTTCGGATAACGAATTAAAATAAATTCTAACGAACACTTCTCGGCTCTTGGACCATAATGTGCAGGGTTGTCAAACCCAACGGACCAAAAATAGTTTTTCATCTCACTTGAATTATGTTGCTTGCCTTATAAAACTTCAAAGTTCTAAAATGGGGGAAAAAAAAAAAAAAAAAATTCCAATAGAATATTTGTAGCCAAAGTAGGCCATCAGTTTCAGTTTTGAATGGCAATAAATATTCTATTGGAAAAAAAAAATCATTCTGATTTCATTTTGAGTGCCTTCCCCCCCCCATTTGTTCATTCACCGTCCCATACGTAGTCTTGAATGACTAATTCCAAACGGCAGACTCCTTTCCTCTCACTGTGAAACAATATGCGTCTTCTTTCCCTCCCAGCTCCTTTTATTCATTTATTCATCTCGCTGATCCAGCAAATTTATAATAGCGAACGGAAGGATAGTTACCCTTCATTTAGAAGCAAACCACGACACATTATTTACCTCAGAAAATGCATGATCAGCACTTTTTTTGCAATAACACATTCGAGGCTGTAGCAGTGTTTGAAAATACCACTACTGTAATTATCACCTATGTTATTTCGTACAAAAGAATGTTTTAAAAAATTGAAATAGTTGCCCAAAGTTTAAAAAAGTCGGCACCGCTTTTTTAAAAATGGTCATTTTGGTCCCTTTTTTTTGCATTAAAAAGTCGCCATTGGCAACCCTGAATGTAGTAATAACACATATGTGGTGCTAACGTGAACTATATCATGTAGCAGTGAAGTATGATTTGGTTTCCCACATTGTTACATATCGCAGCATAGCTAGTGTGCACCGAAACTTTGTCAATTGTGTACGCTAGTTGGTTTCTGTTCCTCTAAATTTTTGCATGCGTTTTTCTGAACCCTTTATAAAAAACTGAAAATCTGACAATAGTATGGGTCCCAAAAAGTGTGGAGTGCCAAGAACTGTGCTCGCCATAAAAAATAAGCAAGAGATTATAGCCAAAGTAGAGAGTGGACAGAAGATGGCTTAAACAGGTCTACAATATGCACCATCTTAGCTAAGAAGTATATCATCAAGAAGACTCAAGCATCTAAAGGAGTAATGAAAATCACATCTGCGAAGCAAAGAAGTGCCTTCCATGAAAAAATGGAGAGGTTTTAGTTTGGATAAATGAACAGGAAATGAAAAGAGATGCAACTAGTATGGCTATCATTTAAGAAAAGGCTAGAGAAATTTTTGAGAAACTGAAAGAACAAACTCCAGGTTCGTTATCCAAGGAGTTAGAATTCAAGGCTACTACTGGTTGGTTATTTAAAAGGAGACCTGGAATTAAACATGTATTAATGCATGGTGAGTCTGCTAGTGCAGATAAAGAAGAAGCTGAGAAGTACTGTCTCAAATTTCAAGAATTCATTGAAACAGAAGGGTATCGTCCACAACAAATATTTAATCCTAATGAAATTGGTTTGTTTTGGAAGTGCATGCCGAACTGTACCTACATCACGAAAGATTAGAAAAGTGTTCCTGGGCATAAACCCATGAAAGACCAATTGACGTTACTTTTGAGAGCTAACGCTAGTGGTGATATGAAGCTTAAACCACTTTTCGTTTACCACTCTGAGAATCCTAGAGCATTAAAAAAATCCATAATCAAAACAAGACTGCCAGTAATGTGGAAATCGAATCAGATGGCATGGGACATTGACTCTTTTCAAAGAATGGCTGTTTAAAGTTTGTGCCCCGAGCATCAAGGACTACCTTAATACCAATGACTTGCCACTGAAAGCACTGCTACTATTGGGCAATGCACCAGGAGACCCAAAGGGCCTTGAAGATAATTTGCTGCCAGACTTTCCCGGGTTGACCATTCAGTTTCAACCTCCGAATATGACTTTGCTGATTCAGCCAATGGATCAGGAGGTTATTGTGGGCTTCAAGAAATTGTATGCAAGAAATTGTATTTTCAAGAAAATGCTATTAATCACTTCTGGAAAATCCTGAAAAAGACAGAAAAGCAATCGACATTGGACATGTTCTTTAACGCCCCATAAACAAAAAATGAAAAGGACTGATTAACATACAAGACTGTATGTATTATTTTTTAAATAAACTTACTAAGAAAGTATACATCCCTTTTTTAAATGTAATTTTTAGGGTCTCCAGAACGAACTAATCGATATCACAAAAAAATCTATGGTAAATTGATGATCGGTTAACAAACAAATGGGATAGCGAACATAGTCATGTAACAGATTATGTTTGTTAACTGATCACCCACTGTAATTGTTTTGCACTATGAAATCTTTTCATTTAGTTCCTTTAAGAATGTCTCTCTTTTTTCCCTTCTGCAATTCTTCCATCTGTTCTTACAATCCTGTATGAGTGTGGTCTTTCTACTGCATCTATAATTTTCCCACTTTTTTTTTAGTTTTTTTCCATCTTATTTGTATACATCATTGGTCCAGGAACTACCTAGGATTAATGATCTTATATTCCTAACATAACATCTTTTTTGTAAAGCTTGTTTCTTCAGTAAATGTTTTTGCTCTTTGTAGTGTTTAGTTAGGATGATGTTCTCTTTTACAGGCACCAATCCATGAACTCTTTTCCCAAACTGTTTTGTAACTTCTACACTTGACACATCTCCCAAATGTCTAATTTCAACACATTTGTTAAGGTAGTACTGCCCATTAGATATGCCTATTGCTAAGGTAGTACTGCCTCACTGCCTAGAAAGTAAGAGAGTTCTGTTTCCAGTACTTCCCATGGACTATTAGGTATTTCTTTAGATATCATTGGTTCTTTACTTTTAGCTTTTCAGAAACTCAAACATATTGGACAATTCAGAACCAAATCTTAATTTCTTTTGACATTTCTGGCCAATCCATTTGCTTTTGAAATTTCTTTGAAATTAAAATATAGTTTTGCCAGCTCTGGGACCGTACGTTATTTATCTGGCCATCCATTTTAAATTAATTTTCTTAAAACTTAGTTTGTCTTTTTCTGTTTCCTGTTGAAAAATTTCTAATGCATCAGCTATAAAAAGTTCTTTTCCTGATTTATATTTTATCTCAAACTGATATGGCTGTAATCTTAACACATTCTTTGTAATCTTGCTGGACATTTAATTAATGGCCTTTTTCAAAATTGATGCCAGTGGTTTATGGTCACTTTCAACTATAAAACACTTACCAAATATGTACTGGTGAAATTTCTCATATGCAAATACAATAGCTGAAGTTTTCTTTTTTATTTGAGCATAATTCTTTGGTGTATCCTTATATATACCATTGGTAAATTATTCTGTAAAAAGACTATTCGTAGTCCTTGAGGTGCATCTACAGGTAAAATTATTGGCATGTTCAGAGGCGTAGCTAAGATTTTCAGCGCCCGGGGACACCTAAAGATTTTGCGACCCTTTCTGTGTTCCAAGAATGGAAAACATTTCACTCTGAAATGTGTATCATCAATTTGGCGTCCCCTGGATGCTGCGCGCGGGGACGGATGTCCCCCCTTGCACCACCCTAGCTACGCCACTGAGCATGTTTGTATTGTACTGTGAAAAATGGTTTATTTACTAAGAGATTTTTTTTTTAGCGTATTTAATGCTTTTTCACATACTGCATTCCAGTTCCAGACAATCTGCTTTTTTCAACAGATCTTCTTACACGATACATTAGCTATAAATCAAGAAAGGTAAGATTTTCATAGGGAATTCCTTGATTTTTTTTTTTTTTTTGGTGATTTTATATCTAGAACAGCAGTTTTATTGGAAAAGTGATTAAGCATTTATAGTAAAACATTGAAGTTCTTGAAAATACAGCAACACACTGAAATTATATATGTTCAATTAAAAGTACTTAGTATTACAAAAAATTAATTTTTAAATCAAAGTGAATAAGAAATTGAAAATGTACAGAACTACTGTATTTGGCATGAGACTCTGTTTTTACCTTTCCCCTTGATTATCTGTGAAATATGAAGCTAATTTTTTACTGTTATGTATTTCTAAATGAGTATATCCATGCACACACACATATATGTATGTATAATATACACATATATAAAGTTTGAGTAAATCGAAAATTGTAATCCTGATTATCCTAAGGAAAATTTGCAGTGAAGTAATTAAAGTAGTAAAAATAGTAACAGCAAGTAAGCATTGTGAACATGAATCTTGAAAAGTTGAATCCTAATTCTGAACTAAATTTTCAAAATTAAAATCTATGTAAGCTTCTAGGAAAAATAAAGATATGAAACTTAGTAGGGAAAAGTAAAAAAAAAAAAAAAAAAAAAAAAAAAAAGATCTACCTTGTTTACTGTTTTGAACAACTTGTCAGAGGTAAGTTTTTGAAACTTTAAACTGGTCAGTTAATAAGTTCTGAATTCATATTCCATCTCTCTGAACCATTTGCAACTTAAAACCATTTGTTAAACAAATTATTGTTGCCTCACTTGAGATGGTAAGTCTGTGTGCATCCATACTCATCTTTTAATATAAAATTGCACAGTTTATATTTAACTTTCATTTCCCTGAGCAGTATCCACAAGCTGCAAAAATGTAAATAGCAGCCATATAGATTTTTTCCCTCATATAATTTCTCGTGTCTTTTAAAAATTCTTCCTTTTATTATTATTTATTAATGGAACAGTCTGTGTGAGCTGTAAAGATAACCGAGCAGCATTTTTCGCCAATTTAATGAAGTCATCAATTAGTTAGCAGGTTTTAGGGGAGTCGGATATGTGGATAATCAGAAAGGACTATTTGCTGATCCATTAGTGTATGATGTGATATTTAATAAAAGTTTTGAGAAATGTTTAAATATTTGATTGCCAGATAGAATTTGAGGTGTATTTTAATATATTGTAATGCATTTTAATTAAATTATATAATAAATTGTAAACTTGAAGGTTTTTGGTGTATTAAAGGGATGGGGTTTGTAATTATCAGTTCTGTGTATAAATTAATATATGAACTTTCCTTTTTAGTGTTGTCTTGAAACCCAAAGCACTTTTAGAATTATTTTGCCATGGCCATACTTGAATGTAATTTTCAGGTATACAAATATAAAGCTAAATTATGTACACATATATATTTTTTGTAAGTAATATTGAAAGATTAGATTGAAGTGTACTGAGATTCTCAGAATTCTTTACTGTGTACTGTATGAAATTTTTTATTCTTTTTAGAAGGAGAGCACGTTTGATAGATCCACATATTGTAATATTGTGCAATAAAATATAGTAATATTGCAGAATAAAAATAATTTTTATGTAGACTTCAATAAATAAGGTTTTATTTTAGCCATAAAAAATATAATGATTTTATTTTGAAGGACATTTTAGTGAAATGTACTAAAATATCACTGAATTTTTATACACTAGGAATATTGTAGTAATATTGTGTTCTTGAGATTTTGATTTTATCTGTAATTCTGTCCTTCTAAAGGAAAATATTAAAAATAAATTTAAGGTATTGTTTATGCTTAAGAATAATGTTCTGATTATTTCTTTCAACTGTATTGCTTTAACATTCATATTCTGTAGGTTTTGCGAAGCAGCTTTTGTCACTGATACATTTAATTACTGTTTATAAAAAAAAGTTCTGATTTATTTTAATAACTGAATACAGTGAAACTTCTTATATCAACCACTTTTCTAAGAGTTGTGAAAGGAGAATCTTTTAACGTGACCAGTTTTTTTTTAGCCCAAAGGGGCAATTTGATCAGAAGGGCTGTGAATTTCATTTTGGCATTTTGTGTCGGTTCACTATAAGTATCAGTCCACTTTTCATATTGTTGCCACCAAATATTAGAGCCCTGCATTATAGTTAAAGAAATTAAATAATGAAGAAATCTGCATGATTGTATGTATGTTTCTCACACTGTGAAAAAACAATGGTACCTAGAGACATCAAATTTTGAATAATGTAGTCCTGCATTCGAATATGGACATCTGGAAGCCCAGGTCTGGAATTTGTTTTATTATCTATTTCATATTTTATCAAACATTAAATACTTTTTGATTAACAAACTCAGCAATTTCAAAGCGAGCAATGGCAATGCTGTATGGGGGGAAAAAATTATCTCCAGAATGCTAGACTATGGAAATTCTAAATATAGGCTTTTTTAAATATTTTGTAATATTGCTGTTGAATTGAATTTTATGGTTTAAGTGCAAAGAACATGATAATTAATAAGTAAAGGTAACACACAAATTGTTAAAAAATGCCCCTTGGGGCATAATATAAAATCTGAAAGCATTGTTATTTAACACAATTGATGCCAGCCTGACCCACCAGTGGGTCATACTTGTCTGTTCCGTGGGGCAGCGTGATCCAAGAACAAAATTTTATTTTAATTAATCAAAAGTGTATTTCAATATAATTAAACATTCAATACAAAACAAATAACTTAAAATGTAACTTATAAATTAAATAAAATGTAACGTATAAATTAAATATAATTATTAATTTTTTCTATGCAATTTCTTAAAGCAGGCTGAACAAAGTGCCGACTTGCCGATATAATCATAGCAATATGCTGTAACTTTCTTTGCTCTATTTGTGGCATACTAAGTACCTTTTAGATTTGCTAAGCGTTTATAGCATTCTTTGCACCGCTTTCTCATCTTCCTCGTGGATCCTACATATGAATTTAAAAAAATGTTTTTTCTTTTTTGTTGTTATTACTTTACTAGGGTGATTCAAAAAACCAGACGGACCGCTAATTCAAGTGCCACTGCACGAAAAGAACAATGAATATCCACACCACTGTCAACATGTTAAAGAATACAATCAAATATGAACTGTCATTTCTACAAGTTGACCACTTCCACGAAAGACTGAAATTACCTGCAACTGTGGTTTGGGAAGCTTGATTTCTTAGGAAGGTTTCACTGTATTTTGAAATTCTCTCTGTCTTTTGCAGAATTTTATTGTTCGTTTTGCATATTTTCTTTGCTGATAATTGATTTGATCCAGTCATATTATCTTTGCAGATAAAGTGGATTATTTTCATATAAAATGTATGTGAAGTATAATTATTATGTAATATATAATGTATTACAATTATTCTTCCAAGTGTTGCTGGAATTTTAACTGAAAATTTTAAAAGAAGTAACTATTTTATATTTAACTGTTTTATATATTGACTTTTAACTAATTTATTAACATTTTCAGTAGGTACTGGATCATGTTTGAAACATGTTCAAGCTCTTCATATTTCAGTCATTTCCATGAACCATCATAAACTAGGGTTAAGATGTTAATATTTTTGCAGACATTCAGTTTTAGATGCATTGTTTTTATAAATTTTTTAACAGTTGAATCAGTGTATTATACAGTGATATTATATAGTTTGTGGATTTTAGTCATAGTTTTTCAAAAATATTTGATTCATGATCATTTAATAGTTATATTATTTTGATGCAGAAAAAATTGTTTAAAGTTTGGCCATGTTTTACTTTAATATGTGTATTATTTTCTTTAGTGTAGTTTCATTTTCTGAAAGGCTGTTGAAATAGCAGTTGGAGAGGTTTGTTTTTGAGAGAATGCACTAAAAATTAGTCAATGAACTATATTTGTATTACTTTATGAAAGAATGTGTTGAATTTTTTTTTAGTGTATTAGTTTGTTATGTTTATGTCAGTTTTAACAATGAAATGATTTCAGTGCAATTTTATTTTCCTTTTTTGAAAAATTATTAAAATACCTATAGGTGGTACATGTTTATGAGAGAATATGGTATAAATAGTAACTGGATCATTTTTATATTGCTTCTTAAAATAGTATACTTCATTTTCTTTCCAGTAATAATTCAGTTTATATCATGTTTCCATCAGTTTTAACAATTTAATAATTTAAATGCAATTGTTTGTGCATAATTTAAATAATATTATAATAAATAATATTTGTGCATATGAGGTATTTATTAGCATTTTATAAATTTTTGAAAATTTTTCACTTATGGAATGTAATATTTGTATTGTGTGAATTTCAGGGCTACTAGAGTATGAAATTGTTTTTTTTTTTTTTTTTCTTCTTCCTTTTTTAAATTTGTAAAATGTGATCCTTTATCTCCACAATGTTATTAATGAATATTTTAGTTTTTAAAAATAGAACACATTAATGTTACAAAACATGTCATGCAAGCATCAGTAGATTTGTCTTCAGTTATAGATAAACACTTCAGCAATAGACTCATTTTGAATGTGTTATATATATATATGTGTGTGTGTTGTGTGCATGTGTAGACATATATGAATTAAAAATCTCTGTTTTAATAATTAATCTTGTTTAAGAAATAAATTCTCATTTGAAATATTATTTAAAGTTAAATTATTGTAATAAATATATAGGGTAACTTGTTCATGTCTTATTAATTTCCTCTTTTCAGAATTAAAATTTAATGCTTTAAACTTGTAAATATAAATTTTTGATATTTGTTTTATTTAGTGTAAATTCTTGTGTTTTTTCAGGAAAGAACTCAAGAAAAAGAAATGCTAATTTTCACTGTGAAATTTGCAGCAAGAACTTTACAACAAATTTTTCTTTGCGTCGGCATCATGCAATTCATAATCCTGCATTCCATAAATATGAGTGTAGTGTGTGTTTTCGAAGTTTTAACTGGTTTGACAATATGAGAGCTCACATGCAGCTAGTTCATGGTTTTCGTTTTGAGTCAAAGAGGAAACGTACTAGGGAACTCTTAGATCAAGGGGGGACAGTTTGAGTTTCAGGATAATTTTCAGTGTGATTGTTTAATTTGATATGCAAAGTTATCATTGTGATTTGATTGTGATTTAAAAATCTTATTGTCCCTTGAGACAATTTCCTACTTAAATGTGTGAGGCTATCAGTCTTCCACAGATAATAATAATAACATTTCCCAAGCATGAGCAAAATATGCATTTAAGAGCATAGTCGAGCAAACTGAACTTTGCAACTTTTGTAAATTCTTTTCATCAAAGATTTTAAATGAGGTTTTTGTAATGACAGTTAAAAAGGAATAGCATTTTGTTACCATTTTATCATTTCTCGACTCAAAGGTATAGAAGAGCCAACAGAAATAATTTTTTTTTTTGTTATTTCTTCAGTGTACTTTACAAGTACTTTTGGTAGCCATTTTAAAGCAGTTTTGTTAAAGAATCTACAAATAGCCATTTTATATTTTTAATTCTTAATACTTTGAATTATATGCTTAATATTGAAGCCTGTGAATATTAGAACCCTAGATGTGTTAGGGCTCATTCTTACATAATTAAATTTATTTAAAAAATTTTTACACAATATTTTGTGTAAACTCTTGTGTTTACATCATGGGTTTGTGAAAAATAAATGCTTTATATGTCAGAATTCTGGGTAATTTCATGTTTTATATTTTCCCTTGCATTTCAATAATGTCATTAATGCATTTTATTTTCTTAGTTTTGAATGCCAAAATTGTTTATATATGATTTTATATTCAGCTGCATAACCAATGGTATAGTCATCAGATTAAAGCGGGAGATTCAGATAGGTGGGAAAAAGTATGTTTACCAGTGGGCAAATTCAGTTTAGCTTTTAATCCTGCTAGTTTAAGTAAACATTTAATGCCCTTTTGTAAAATATATTTGTTGATTGTTTGTTTTATTCTTTAAATAGTTTTTTTATGTGGGAGAATGGGAGTGGTGAAATTATATTGAAAATGTTAACTATGTGTGTGTGTGTTTGTGTATATATATATATATATAATTTATTTCCTAAACAATATTGATTAATTGAGCCTTGTTTTAGGTAATTATGTAGAAAAATATCCAAATTGTTTATTATTTACTATAAATTTGTGGTACAGTACAAAGTTCGTAATCCGGACTTGTCGGGACTTCGACGGTTCTGGATTAGGGGTTTTTCCGGATTATAGATTATCAATTTAAATCTGGTAAGATGGCATGCAGAAATTATACTACTAAAAATATGAAACCGTAATTTATGAAATAAAAAGCAATTATGATCTAAAGGGTATCAAATTTTGCAAAAAAAGCTTAATATTTATTTGTTTACTTCATTAAACATTTCTTTCAACATGCGCATGTGTAAAGCATATGTACGTAATGTATGCACATTCTTTATGCGTATGCGTAAAGTTTGTGGCTTTGAGGTTCGGATTATAGATCATTCCGGATAATGGACGCCCAAATTACGGACTTTGTACTGTATTATAATTTTTACTTGCCAGTAATTCACTATGAAATCCCAAAGCAAAATGTTTTGTGTTATTCCGTTATAAGCTTTCAATGCTTAAAATTTTTCTATGGGAAGTATAAAGTTTATTTAAACATTCACAAGTCCATGTGTAATGTATTATGCATTTTAAAATTAAAAAAAAGAGTACGGTAGAATTCCAGAAATCCACAAAGCTTGGGACCAAAGGTTGTGCGGATTTTAGAATTTTGCGGATTTCAGAACAGAAAAGATAAATCATAATATTCAGACTAAAAATGCAAAATAAATAAGCCATATTAGATACATTTAATTAAATTATTATAGACTATTACAATAATTTATTATGTATATTAATTATTACATATAAAAATTGATTATATTATATGTATTAGTATTCATTTACATTAGTGCTTACAGGGATATTTAAAAGCATTAGGATGTATTCAATAGACATAAAGATAAGAGATATTAATAAAGCATAAAATATTTCATTTTTTTCTACGTGTTTCAAACATTTTTCTGATGGAGGTTTGTTTTAAAACTTTAGGGTGCTCCAGAGTAAGTTTTTTTTGTAAATTATATAGAGTCATAATCTCTTGCTCTGTGACACAGCTTTGTTGTTCTAAAAATTTTAGGTATTTTTCACCAAGTTCCAGACCCTCATTAAAAGATATTTTCTCACTTCTATCAAATTCACTATCTGTGTCGGTGTCAGAATTGTCTTCTTGCTCTGGCGAATTCAAAACAGAGCCAATGATTTCATCATCAGTCATCTGATATGCCAGCGTTGGCTCATCTGAACACATCATCCATTCAACAATATCTTCTTGCAAAGCCTCCTCATTTGTTTTTTGTTTTGAAAATAAAAGCAATTCTCTTGCTTTAATCCTTTCTGCACTAACCCTAAAACTAGAAAAATCGCTGTCATCACTCTCAGTTTCAATAAACAGAGAAGATGGCCATACATTATGCCACAAAAAAAAAAAAAAAAAAAAAAAAAAAAAAAAAAAAAAAAAACAAGGCATGGGGCATTTACTAATGTCGTTTGGGAAACAGAATTCCATGATTCAGCTAATAAGTAAATGCAGTCTTTGATGGTGAATTTTTTTAATTATCAGAAAGTGGAATAGAAGGGTCACATGAAAGAATTTTTTTCAGAAACTCTGATTTATAGTGGCATTTAATACTCTGTATTATGCCCTGGTCCATTGGTTGGATCAGTAGTATTTGGGGGCAAAAAAAAGGGCCATGACATTATCATGTGTTAAAATACTTGCATCTGGATGTGCAGAGCAGTTGTCTAACAATAGTAAAATCTTGCAATTTGATGGTAACCTCACACTGTTACAATGCCTTCTAGCCTTTTTAATGAAATGCTCCATGAACCATTCAGTCATAAGTTGTTTTATGAACCAGGAATTTTTATTACTCCTGTAAATCACAGGTAAGGATTTTCCTCCTTTCAGAGCTCTGGGATTGGTGCTCTTAGCCACTACCACTGGTTTACATTTGTACGTTCCAGCTGCATTGCTGCATACTAAAATGGTAACTCTTTCTTTAGCATCTTTCACCCCTGACGGTGCACTTTCTTTGCTTGTCACAAATATCTGTCTTGGCAAACATCGCAAAAATGTCCAGTCTCGTCCATATTAAAAACCTGTTCTGGGCTAAGATTTCTTCTGCCACTAACAGAAAAAGCTCATCAATAAACTCCTCTGCAGCATCTTTATCTGCTGAAAGTTTTTCCCCACATGCTTTCAGATAATGTATACCGTATCTCTGTTTAAATCTGTTCAGCCAACTGCTGCTGAAATTGCACAGCTCCTTTATTTTTAAATCAGCATGAATCTGCTTCACCTTTTCTCTCAGGAACGGTCTTGAAATCGGTACTCCATCACTCCGCCGCTGCCGAAACCACTTGTACAAGACAGCATTGAGGTTTGCCGATTTCGCCTCATGCAAAGATTTCCAGTGTTAGAATCACTGCTGCTGTAAAATTTCAACAGTTTTTCTTTATTTTTCCGTGTATCATACACAGTCCATGTCGCTATTCCATATGATTCTGCTAAAAAGCGAGGAGTACCTGCCTCCATCTTTTGCAGAATTTCCACTTTTTGCATTACCGTCAATGCAACATGTTTACGTTTTTCAACGTTGCAAACAGTAAAATCATGAGTGCGTTTCTTATCTGTCATTGTATTAACAAGCACTGAAATTTAAAATATTCTAAATTGATCTACGAAATATCCGGATAAAAAAAACGGCAGCACTAAACAATCTCGTGGAATAACAAAGTTCAGAAAATACAACAACGTGAATTGTGAACTTGAAAGAAGAGTTGAGTGAATCGTCTGCTTCTTTACATTGATGCAGATTGCAGGGGAAAAACACTTTTATTTTATCATAATGTCAGTAGTTTGCTATTTCTGTTATGACTCATTATTATTCGGTAATTATGATGTCGTTATTCGTTAAGTATTTTTTTCGATATTTCATACTCCATGTTGTGGTTTACAGAACCTATAAACTCAATGTTTATATTTTGAGAGGCAACGCAGATTTCAGGTCAGCGGATTTTCGGGATTTGACTGTACTCATTTTTATGTAAAAATGCAGATAGCTTTTAGTAAAAATGTGTACATGCATTGAAAAATTCTACATTTCTTTGGAGTAAATTCTTTTGCAGATTGGCCTGAATAACTTCTTTTTTTAATTAGTGGAAGGAGGAGTTTAGCCTTTGATTATTTCTGTTCTGAAATTATTTGAATTGCTATGTATGTCATACTTTTTAGAATACCTTCCTTGGGACTATAGTGTTGAGAATAGAAATGGAGTGCGTACAAGAAACAAACCTGTCTATCAAATTGGTTGGAAGAACTATAAGAAAACGTTCCAATACTGTGCACTTTTCTGTCAGAATTTAGCTATGTAAATTAAAATGTCGAAATGATTTTGAAATGTTTCCGTATTTTCAACGTTTATGTTTTATAATGAATTCAAACCCCTCTGTAATGAACCTAGCTTATAATAAACAAACCTTTTGGTCCCATCTAGTTTTCTGTACAGTTAATGTTATTTTATACTGCTGTAGTATACCTCCAAAGATAAGAAAATAGGATATAATGCAATGTATGGATATCTTCAATTGAAACATTTTTTTTCCACAATTTTTTTAAGGATTTCTGTAAGTTTTAATAAAAAAATTACTAACTCTTAGTATCATTCATAGGATATTACTTAGTATCATCAGTAGGATTTTAGGATCCAATTTCCATTTGTAATGGAAAACACCTTTTAGTTACTTTTTAATCTTCACCTCTACTTTTCTATTTGCTCTAAACAGAGGCTTTGCAAAACAGGGGTGAACTTAATTCTGGGAGATGGAGGGTACAATAAGCATAAGGAATACCATATGATGTATGTGACCATTATTAGAATCTTAGTGGGTTCTCAGATTCCATTTAAATTCTTTGATTTGAACTATCAGACAGAGCTCTATTCAACACTAATGCTATGCCAGAAATTAAAAATTTTTTGCTGTCCAAGGATAGATTCACGATCAGGTATTAGAAGCGTCATTAGCAGCTGGTTTTAAGAATATTGGACAGGTATGGCAAATATGTCTATCACTTCTTGATGGAATGCTAGCTCTAGGAAAATCTTGGTGACTTGTTACAGAAAAAAAAAAAAAAAAAACCCATATAAAATTGTTTTCGCTGTGCTGAACTAAGCAATAAAGTGATAATTCATACCCAAGGGTTTAAGTGAAGTTGTGACTGAAATTAAAATGAGAAATGCTGACATTAAAGATTCTTCTGATGGTGATGAAAATGTTAGAAATATGCAACAGATGGAGAATAAACACCCTACAACAGCAAATGACAATGCTGTAATATATTTCATTAATAAATTATGGATATCCTCAATTAAAACATTTTTTTCCCACTTTTTTTAGGATTTCTGTAAGTTTTAATAGAAAAATTACTAACTCTTAGTATCATCAATAGGATGTTAGGATCCATATTCCATTCATAAAGGAAAGCACCTTTTAGTTACATTTCTTTTACCTTCACCTCCACTTTTCAATTTGTTCTAAACAAAGGCTCTGCAAAACAGGTGTGAACTTAATTCTGGGAGAAGGAGGGCAC